ATGACAATTCCCTTCCCTTCCCCTCATCACATACACTGCACAGCAGAAATAATTAAAGTTCACATGCAGTAGAGAACAGTCAAACATTACATGAAAACGTAGCAACACTACTCAGCTGCAGAAGGCTTTCCTTCGCTTTCAACTCTAATGTAATTATAACAGCCCTGGACAGTACCTGTGGGTTCAGCTCATTCATTCCCCATCGCGGTCCCTGGCCCAAGCACGTGTGCCTGCCATGCACACAGGGAAGGGTGTCTCCTTCTGCCCCTCTCTCTAGTGCTGCATACTCAGGCAGTCAGTTCCTTCACCTGATGCACACTGAGCCAGGCATGGACGCTGTCCATGGTCACTCTGGGTTGCTGGGATGGACCTGCAGCTGCGAAGTGCTGCGCTATGGACCGCTGCTGCCAATCAAGTCCAGGCTTTCATTCCTTCTAGATGGAGCTATTTCTCTCCATTGTTAATCTCTTCTCAGAACAGGATACACTTCACACCCCGGCAGTAATCCCGCCTTTGTGCCAAACGAATATCGAATGAGGTTAAGATTAGAAATTAGCTCTTCCCACGTAAATCACACAATCCATTTTAATTTTTAAAATTTCATTATACAAAGCAACACACTGGTGATAATCTATTTTTCTTTCTTAACAAAAATACCAGCAAAACATGAAGAAGGAAAGTAACACATGAGGTCATTGTTACTTTGAGATGGTGCTCCTCTTCCCCCCTTTTTTCGGGACCATAAATAAAGCCAATGATTGATCCTTAATTTTGTATCTGGTTATCTTTCCATGTCTGAAAACAATCATTGTACTATATTAGAGAGTATATCATTCTGCCCCCTCTACACATAAATTCCACAAATTTTAAAATGAATATGGTTGGTCTCCACACTGTGCATCGCTAGGGTTGCTCCCAAGTCTGTTTTATAGTGATAGAGATTACCAGGTAAATGGCTGCCCAAATTTACATGTCAAACAATTGATAGAAAATAGGTTTTGGGGATTATACCCAGGGGTACTCACCCCTGAACGCTTTTTATTTTTTATTTTGAAGTAGAATCTCACAAAGTTGCCCAGGCTGGCTTCAAACTTGTGATCCTCCTTCCTCAGTTTCCCAAAATTATGGGATTACAGGTGTATATCAACTTGCTCACATTTGGATTATGGTAATGGTACATGATATCTTAGTTCATTTTACCTGCTATTAAACAATACCATAAATTGGGTGGCTTATAACAGTAAGAAAAGATTTTATACCCATTTAGAGGTTGGTGATGCCCTAGATAAAGCTACCAGCAGACTAAGAAAACAGGAAGGCCTGGATTTGGGCTCCTGCAAAGACCACCCCAGCACTGTGCCCTTGGGACTTAAGATTTGAATGTTGGGGAGATGGGAGCATCTCTCATTAGGATGCACATGGCGACATGCTCTTATCAGAATGCACTGAAGGAAAGTGGCATAGTGGTGCATGCCTGCAATCCCAGTATGGCTGAGGCAGGAAGGTTGAAAGTTTAACCCTAGCCTGGGCCATTTAGTAGTTTAGTGAGATCCTGTCTCAGAATGAAAAGTAAGTAAATAAAAAAAGGTCTGGGGATACAGCTCAGTGCACAGACCTTGGATTCCATCTTCAGTACTAAAAAACCAAAATCATAACCAAAAATAAAACCAGAACCAAGGGGCTGGGGATTTAGCTCAGCGGCATAAGTGCCTGCCTGGAAAGCATGAGGTCATGAGTTCAATCCCCGGTACCAAAGAAAGAAACAAACGAAAAACCAGAACCAAAACAACAATTGAACAATCTACTTAAATTTGGGAGCATTCTGTTTGTAGAAATTATACCCCAAAAACTTACTGAATTATGAAAATAAAACAAACTCCCAAAATATGTGTGTACTTCATGCATAGTAAAAGTGATAATAAGAAATGGGGTGCTGGGGAGCTGGAAACATTTCCGTGCTTGTTTCCAGCGCCTTCAACTCTGGACCTTGATATAGACCTTTCTCCTCCTCCTCATTCTCCTCCTCCTTCTTCTTCCTCTTTCTCTTCTCCTTTTCCTTTGCTTTGGTCCATCCCCTCCCCCTCCCTTCCCCTTCCCTTCCCCTTCCCACTTCCAGTCCCTTCCCTTCCCTTCCCTTCCCTTCCCTTCCCTTCCCTTCACTTTTGCAGGGGGTTTGAGACAAGGCCTCACTATGTAGCTCAGGTTGGCCTTGAACTTGCCTTGGCTTCCCTGAGTGCTGGGATTATAGGTGTCATCACACCCAGCTCTTATTTTTCTTTTAAATAAACAGACTTTCGGACCAGGAATCTAGCTCAGTGGCATAAGCATCTGCCTAGCAAGCACAAGGTCCTGAGTTTGACCTGGGGGGGGTGGATAAAATAAATAGGAAAGAAAAAAATAAACAGACTTTTAAAGAAAATTTTTGGTTTCCAGAAGATGAGCTGTGAGCAGAGAGCATGCCCGTCTCCCACACCCAATTGCCCCTCACACAGCCACCTGCTTCCACGAGGAACGTTTGTCACACTGGATGAACTGACCTCTGTGTACCACGGCAGAAGCCCCTGTGCTTTGTGGTGGATGGGTTCTCACAGAGGCACAAGGCCCCTGTCCATCACCATGGTCACAGGGGACAGTGTTGTCACTGGAATGCCCAGGGTCTCCTTATGGCCCTTCCAGCTTTCCCCCACTGCCTGCAGATTCCCAGTCACTGAAATTTTACTCTCATGGTTTTGACCACTCCTGTATTCGCTCAGGGATTTGGGGAAATCTGATGCATGCTCAGCTTCGAGATGAGTTTCTTATCCCTGTCCTCCAATGAGCTGACCTCCTCTAGCTCTGTTTTGGTTACTTTTCTCTCATTGTTGGGACAAAATACCCAATACCCAAAATGAAGGGAGAAAAGTTTTATTTAGCTCACTGTTAGTGGAGGTTTCAGTCCATAATTAGCTGGCTCCAAGGCAGGCTTCAAGGCATGGCACTGGGGCAACACTTCAAGGCAGCAGCCTGCAAAAACAGCCAGAACAAAAGAGAGAGCAAGCCTCTTCTCCTCCCTTACATTGTACATAGCACTGCCTGTGCCCTACCCCCAGGGCAGGTGTAGCACTCACAAGATCTCTGTGCCCTCCTCTTGCACAGACTGAGCATATTTACAAAGTGAGGACCCTGGCTCCCTGCTGAGTCTCTCTGTTACACTTTTAAGCTCAAGGTGACACAATATGTCAACCATAGCAAACTCTCTTTCTTTTTCAGGGTAAAGCAATCTTCCCAGCTGGGTGTGCTGCAGTAGCGGGAAGAGGGGACAAAGAAGCAGGGTGTGTCAGGTTTATTTAAAAGATACAAAGGTAGGGAGTAGGGCTCTGGCCAGCTGGGAGGAGCTCTGCACTGGAGCACTACCAGGGGTTCAGAGGGAGCTCATGAGTCCTGTTAGCAATGTGACCTCCATCCTATAGGAGATGACATCTTTTTAGGGTCTAATCCAGGATGTTCATGGGGTGCTCATAGAGGGATGCTGCCTGATAGCACTCTGGGAAGGTCCCAGACAGCAGCAGGACCTCTGGGAAACATTTCTGTAAGATCCTTGGAGGGTCATGATTCAGCTGGCCCCATTTCTGGGTTCTGGACTCCATTTGGGGGCCACTGTCCTTATTGCTTAAAAGAACTGTAACCACTGTGTTCACTAATTCTGGTTACAGGGGCACTGGCCTGTAACCCCAGCTCCCAAGAGGCTGAGGCAGGAGGATCATGGTGTGTGAGCCAGCCTTGATCACACTGAGATTCTGCCTTAGTGAAACAAAACACAACAAACCATAAAAAAAAAAATCACAGCAGTCCTCTCTGTCCAGGTCTGACTGACTACATTTCCTGTCTTTCTTGTATTGAGGTGTCCTGTGAGATGGGAACAGGCAGGATGTGTGTGAGCGACAAGGACTGATGAGATTGAAAAAATAACAAATTGATCACAGAACTTTAAACTTGTGTCCCCTTATAGGACTGAACTACCTAAACTATAGTTTATTATTTTAAAGTAAATCCTGTATTTCTCTTATTCTCTTTTTTGTTGTTATTTGTTTTGTTCTATTTTTTTTCTTTTGAGACAGGGTCTTGTTCTTCCAGATTGGCCTCAAACTTGCTGAGATCCTCCTGCCTCAGCTTCCTAAGTGCTGGTATCACAGCTGTTCACCACCACACCAGGCTGCTATAACTATCTCTGGAAAGATTCAGTTACAATGCATTGTAATTTCTGGCACTAAAAGGAAAATGATCTCTACTGTAAACATTTGTCTAACACTGTTTTCTTCATGAGTCTCAATAAACCAAAACCAAAAAAGCAGCGATTTCCATTTCTGGGAGGCCCCGAGTACACCGTGGACATTCAAAGAGTAAGAGGCAGATGGGAGGCTGCGGAGGTGAGGAGGAGGAGGCCGGGAGCTGGAGAGAGGCAGGGGTCCCTGGTCCTGTGGAGGCCAAGGGAAGTGGAAATCCCAGCCAATGCAGGCAGGAGTTTCATGTCAGGAAGCTGTCGCCCGCAGTCTCAGTTTTGATGTCTGTAGAATGGGTATTTCACTGACCCTGGCTAGCACAGTGACAAGGCAAGGTACAACTGAGGCTCAGGTCTGCAGACTTTAAACAGAAGATGGAAAGTGACTTCAGCTTGCAGCATCCACAAGGCTCCAGGGGCTTAACAAGGGAAAGTGAGGGAAAACTGGGGCAGGAACATCCTGGCCGGGAAATGTGAGAAGCCCAGGTTGCAGGAAGAGCGTTGGCCCAGGCTGTCCAAAACCAGGATGGGACCATTTTTCCTGAGGGCGGAGGTAAACTGGGGTCTGCCTGGTCACTGTCTTGTCTTGTTTTGTTTTGTTTTGAGATTTCTTTGGTAATAGGGGTTCTGGGGATAGAACCCAGAGCCTTTGATATAGGGAATGAAACTCCCAACCAACTATATGTCTGGAACAAGTTCATGTTCTCTAAAATTGAAGAATGCATTTTAGGAACAACAGAGGTTAAGAGCAGAATATATTTATTGAGAGAAAGAAAGCTTCTGTCTGAGGAGAGACAGAAGGGGTCCTGAGTGGCTTGCCAAAGATTCTGTATTTTCTCGGGATTGTTATAGAGTAAAATCATGAGGTGAGGCGGCTCTAGAGGAGGCAAACTCAGAACTCACAAGGCAGATGGGCATGAGGAGGGTTAGAGCTATGGTCAAACAGTAAGTTTAATTGTTCAGGTAAAATTGACCAAATCAGGGACAAATGGGGAAGCGAGTCTTATAGAAAATGAACATTCTTTATGGATCAGTGACTCTTCCTATAGGGGATTGGGATGGTGACTCCTGGCTTCTCAAGATGATCCATACTTAATCTCTAAGGATTATACTTAAGGGTGGGCTTGCACTTGCTTTGCCTTCTGTCCTGAGATCTGGCCTACAGCCAGAGGTGTGTGTCTCTTCCAAGGTCACAAGACAGCTGGTCCTCTGTGCCAGCTTCTTTGAGGGCCCAGCCCTGTCTCACTGCCTGTAATATTTCTAACTAGCTCAGCTGCCTGTAACACCTTCACACCAAGCTACACCCCCAGCCCATTTTAGTTTGTACTTTAAAGTGGCCGGAGTGGGGCTGGGGGGGGGGTAATTTGCAGTCCTCCTGCCTCTGCCTCACTCAGTGCTGGGAGGACGGGCTTGGGCCACCCTGCTTTGGTCCTGGTTTTATGGCTCCAGGAACAATCCTCAAAGTTCAGAGACACAGGATGATCCAGCTTGGTGGTGGTGGGCGTGGGGTGCAGCCTGTTCCACAGCAGCCAGGTCCCACGTAGAGACGGGACCTCTCTCTGGTGCTGCCATCAGCCTCTGTGGAATCCCAAGATGCTTCAGGGCAAAGACTGCAGATTTCCAGGCATCACTCTAGAAGTGGAGAATTAGAAGGCTGGCAGCTAGGTGTCCCTACAAATCCCAAGCTCACTCCAGTCACTCCATCTTGGGGTCCTGGGGCAGGAAGGGGTTCAGGTAGCTGGGTCAGAGACACACTTGGATTGGAACTGAGGCTTTATTTTAAAGTAGAAGGGAGATGAGGAGGAGGAAGAGGAGGAGAGGAGGCAGGACATGGTGGCTCATGCCTGCAATGCCAGCACTCTAGAGGCTAAGGGAGGAGGATCGACAGAAGTTTGAGGCTGGCTTGAACAACATAGGAAAACCCTGTCTCAAAATCAAAGCAAAAAACAAAAAAATCATGGGCAGCATTTGCTTGCATCTCACGTAGAAGGAAGGGAGGGAGGAGAAGAACAGGAGGCAAAGGGAGGAAAAGGGAGGAAGAAGAGGAGGAGGAGAGGAACAGGAGGGGGAGGGGCGGAGAAGGCAGCCCCTAGCTCTGATTCCATGTGAGCTTATGGAATTAGGGAGACATAAAGATGTGCACCACAGCCCGAGTTCAGCGGGATTTAGCATCTTTCCCGTCTTTGTGATAATTCATTATTTTAGTTCCCAGGCTGGAAGGCTGCACCGAGGAAGGCCTTTGAGGGGACCTGACTTCCTCAGAGGAAGGGGAGAAATACAGAAGCTCAAGGACACCACCTGATCTCTAGTGCTCTACTTTGGCAGGTGAGTCATGAAATGAAACCCATCTCCCCAGCTCACCAGTAGCTCTTCAAAGGGAACATGGCATAGCTGGTGCTTAAGATGTATTCCTAGCATAGTGTCAAGTAATGTGCTTATTTTTGCACAGGAAAGCTTTAGGTTTTCAAGATAACAGCTTAATAAAAGATAACTACAGCTCAATTCTTTAAAAACATCAAATGTGTCATTCAAATTGGCAGCTACCAATTAACGCACAGTTGCTTGATAACGTTAGTTGAAGCTCGTTTTTACTAGTAGCTTTTGTAAAGACAACTTTTAATCTGCTGGGCCTGTTGGAGTGTGCCTGTCAACCCAGCAGTCAAGAAATCCAGGTGGGAGGACTGCTAGGAGTTCTAGATCATCCTGAGCACAGGGAGTTCAAAAGCAGCTTGGACTACATAGTGAGTCCCTTTCTTAAGAAAAAAAAAAAAAAGAGTTTGGGCAGGGATATAGCTCAGGAGCATAAGTGCTTGCTTGGCAAGTGCAAAGGCTGAGTTCAATCTGTGGTACAAAAATTAAAAAAAAAAAACCAAGAATTTGACTCTGTCATCTATCACAGATAGATCAGGTCTGTAACCTCCCAAATGAGTGAACGGCAAAGGCGTAAATAAAAGAGATAAGTAGTTTTTAGGGCTCCAGGAGGATCAAACCTTCCAGTAGAATGTGAGATTCTCTGGGGGCTGAGACCAGGAACTTCTCTGGGTGACTGTATTTATTTGGTTTTCAAACAAGGGAAGGGGATACTGAGGAAAACAAGGGAACTGAGCAGGACCTTGGGCATCAGTTCAAAGACTTCTCCAGGTAGTAAATTACCCTAATTTAGGAGAACTGTCTTATCTCCAGGTTGACATTTACAAGCAAGATGACTGTAGTAAGAGTCTCTATTTAGCTAATTGAGGTTGGAGCCAGGCGTCCTCAGCTATGGCCTTGTCCTGTTCTTTGAAGCATCTCTGCCATCACAGGCAATTATGGATCTCAGCTGGGACCAGTAAACACAGAAAGCCAATTGGCTAATTTTAAATTCTGCTCAGAACTGCTTCATAGTGGTCTTCATCAGAATCCTGCATTTGGTAAAATTCATGAACTTTGACAAACAAAGGGTCTAATCATCAATATAATAGCGATCACGATATAGCCTAGTTCCTTCACTGCCCGCCCCCATTTCCCCAGACATCTTTTGATCACTGCTGAGCAGTATTCCACACCCCCCCCCCTTTTTTTTGTCTTTTTTGAGACAGGGTCTTGCTATGCAGTTCAGGCTGGCCTTGAGCTCACTTTGTAGCCCAGGCTGGCCTTGAGCTAGCAACAATCCTCCCACCTCAGCCTCCTGAGCGCTGGGATTACAGGCATGAGCCACCATGCCCAGCTTCTGTCCCCTTTTCGAAAAACTTTTCTTAGAATTTTGGAACAATTTTGGGCTCACAGGAAATTGTGAAAGCAGTGCCTAGAATCTCAGGTACTTGGTCCCCTTATTTTTTCAGATAACTGTGTGCAAAACTAAAACCAAGTCCCAGCCAGGCTTTCCTTACTTCTCTGCCTGATTTGACGGTCTCCAGTCTGGTGTTTCAGCTGTCACCCTTTTATATCCAGACTTGGGGCGCCCCCAGGTCTGGCATGCTTGTGTCTTCTCCCCTGGACATGCTTCAGTTTTCACTAGCTGTCCACAGTCCAGAGCCTGGCACGAGGATCAGGACCATTGTGTGCTTTTTTTGCATTATTTAGTCCTAGACTTGGGTCACAAGTTTAATAGCTTTTTGTAAGCCCAGTAAAAGGCAAAGAGTAGCCCAATCAAGTGTGACACTCTGGGGGAACTTCTGCAATTTATTATTATTATTATTACTTGGCACTGGACCCAGGGCCTCCAACGGGGCAACAACCATCTCTTTTTATTTCTTAATTGGAGGCACGGTCTTGCTAAATTGCCCAGGCTGGACTCTAATTTGGGATCCTCCTGCCTCAGCCTCCCAGCGTGCGAGATTACAGGCGTGGGCTTGCAAGCCCAGCACATAACTAACTGTAATCACTAATTTCCTCCTTACAATTTGGAGAGCGCCTAGGCGGGCGTTGCCGACCGCAACAGGGGCGGACCCAGAGATGGCCACGCCCAGCACAGCAATGACGTCACCCACCTGCGCCCGCGCATCCAGCACAGTGCGCATGCTCAGCGAGGCTCCGGTTTGTGCCCCGGTTCCCGCACGCCATCGCCTGCTTTTCCCGGGTCCAGCCAGCCCGCCCCGCTTCCGCCCCTTCCCTGTCGCCCCGCCCCGCTCCGCGGCTGGCTGCGGTCGGCGAGCGGAGCGGGGTGAGTAGTACTCCCGGGCCGGGAGGGAGGGCGACAGCGGCGACCGGAGGCGGGGTCGGCGAGTCCCGGGGTCCGGGTCCACACCCCGCACTTAGGCGCGCGCGGCCTCCGACCTGAGCTCGGCCCGGCGCGTGCGGGGCCCTGGCAGGTCCCGCGCTCCGCGTCCCCGGAGCTGCGGCCGGGCCGGCGCGGGCGACGGGGGCGGGCGCGTGTGCGCGTGCGCGGCGCGTCTCCCGGTCCCCTGCGTTGGCGGAAGCGCCGCCAGCTAAATGCGCTCGGCTTGGCCGCTAGCTGCAAGGCCTTCCCGGGGTCAGGGCGGGGCAGGGTATGGACTCGGTGAGGGAGTGCTGCTTGGGAGGGAAAGATACGCATAGAGATCCCATAGCACTGTCATTTATGGAATTGTAATTTCTTAAAAAATTTTACTGTGAACAACATACCACTTAGTTAAAAGTGGTATGACAACCCTTGGTATTTAAGAAAAAAGTGGTGTGACAACCCTTTTATTAACCCTTCTGAGTTCAGTGGTGTTTGACTGCTCATCAGGAACTATAAGCTTCCAATCCATGCTTGCAGTACCTAACGGTCAATTCCTTGTGGGGAGTTGGCATGTGTATACGACACGTCTCCACTCTTTCAGGTCCCCTTCTCCACTCCATCTCTTGCAAAAGATCTGTGTCCCGTGAGCAAAAGATGTGTCTCGTTTCCTGGTACCTTTTATTTTGCTGTTGGTACTTTGTCTCAAGAGAAATCATGTAATGTTTTTGTGTTGATTTATTTCACTATGGTCCCAATGGCTGATTTTGTATTTAACATCGAGTCTAAGCAGCCTCCTCCCCTTGAGAGTCTGGGTCTCCCTGTGTTGTTCCTGCTGGTGTCCAACTTCTGGGCTCCAGGGATCCTCCTGCCTTTGCCTCTCTGGTGCGACGGACTGTTGGATTGACCTTCCACACGCTCTAGCCCTGTCAGTTTTTCTTCAGTGTACTCCTTCAGGTGTGTTGAGCATAATTTACTATTCCGCTTCCTTCTCCAGTTTTAGTTGGATTTGGCAGTTATTTGGAGCCCTGTTGGTTACTACTGAGGCCTGATGGGGCCTCCTGCTGTGGCGGCCAACTCTCAAGTGTACACAGGGTTGGAAAACTCAGAGAACTCTGAAGTACTATCCTGCCTCCTGCTTTCAACGGACCGCAATCCACAAGGGAAAGAAGCATTACAAAATGAAAACCTTAAATGGAAACAAAATTTCAGGATTGAGAAATTCAAATCAGAGTTTTGGACAATACAGAGTGCATAAGTTGCTGATTTTTTTGTGGGGGTGCTGGTGGTAGTGGTGGAAGGGGACTACTGAGAATAGAACTCAGGGCCTTGGCACTGAGCTACATCCCCAGCCACTTTATTTTATTCTGTGGAACTGAAGACTGAACTCAGGGCCTTCACATTGAATGGCACCCCTAGCTCCTGTATTATTTCTGTTTAGTATTATTTTAAGGCAGGGTGTCACTATGTAGCCCAGGCTGGCCTTGAACTCATGATGATCCTCTTGTCTCAGCTATCTAAATGCTGGATTACAGCCATGTGCCATACCTAGTTTATTTCAGAGTCGGAGACTGGCTCTTGCTAAACCACATTGCCCAAAGTGGGTTTGACTTTGCATCCTCCTGCCTTAGCCTCCCAGAATGTTGGGATTATAGGCATGAGCTGCAGCTACACCCACATAAAGGTATTACTGATATTTTAATTGAGAAAATAGTGGAAATAGTTCTAGACTGGGTTCTCTTGGGCATGGACTGGGGCTATTCCCTCGTCCCCTGATTCTCCCTTTCTACCTCCTGAGCTTCCTATTCTATTTAGGATAAATTAAGTGGGATGTGACCAGACACTCAATGTTGGGAACAATGTTTTGGGCTATTTATATCTGGACAGCACTCCTAATGCTAAGTAACACACATTCTTAATAGACACACTCAGGCTAAAGGTTACACACACTGGGCTGTGTGGTAGGGTCATTGAAGCTCCCAGAAGTGTGCTTCAAGGTGGTGCTTGACTGCTAATCAGGAACTATAAGCCAAACAGCTGTAGACATTATTGATTATTGAAAGTGGGTCTTCAGAACCCCCACAGGTTGGGTCTTGAATAACTGGAAAGTAGTGAAAGGAGAAATAAACCACCAAATGGGATCCTGCTTTGGGAGAGGCTGCTGAAAACCCCATGGGAGCAGAGGTCCCCTTCAGTGGGCCTGGGACCCCAGCCTTGAGGCCTCTGTGGTGTAGGTCTAGGAGATCTAGGGACAGTAGTTACCCAGAGAAGTTTAGCTTTGGAGTCAAGGTTATTCCTAGCACCATTGTGTTAACTTTCCAAGAAAACCCTTTTATTAACCTTTCTGAGTTCAGTAGTCTGTGATGGTTTCATTTTCCACTTCATTATGTACCTACCTATCATCTACTGTATCTTTCTAGGCATTGAACCCCGGGCCTTTGCACTGGGCTACACCCCCCAGCTCATTTTTACTTTTTTTCTTTTGAGATAGAGTCTATGTCAGTTGCCCTAAGGCCAAACTCACCCTTCCTAGCCTCCGGCCCAGGGTGTTGTCCCCAGACCACTGCAGGGCCCTGAGGGTCTGAATCCCCAAGTGGGGCCTTACCACCTGCTGCTTCTGTTATTTCAGTCATGCCAGCTCTTCAGGGTTGTTGAGCTCATCCCTGACTTCCACCTTCTTCCTATCTGAGTTTTTATTTGATGCCTTACACATTTCATTAAAACTGTGGGGAGCAAAAAAAACAAACAAAACCAAAAAACAGTTCCTGGGCAGGGGATTTAGCTCAGTGGCTTAAAAGCACCTGCCCGGCAAGCGTGAGATCATGAGTTTGATTCCCAGTATCAAAAACAAAACAAAACAAACAAACAGTGGGGAGAGAAGAGTATGAGATGTATATTTAAAAGCATCTTAACACTGTCCCAGGGCAATGTGGGGGTTCTCTTTAGATATTTCCCATCTTCCTATCCAGTTTTCTGTTACCTATTTTATCTCTGTTGTTTATAATTTTACATTAATACTGTTTTGTTCCAAAGTATTTGAAGCAGTTTATAAACTTAAGAATATGCAAAATAAAGATAAATTGAGGTCGTGAAAATACACCTTCCCATGATAAATGTAATCGTATACTGCAAATGTGTATAATAAAAATTGTAAAGAATGAAAGAAATAGAAGGATGAGGTTAGGACAAATTACACTGAAATATGTCCTGTGAAAGTTGTAGTTTCTTTTTTATGCAGTTGTTAAAAGTAGGCCACAGGCCAGGTTGGTGGTACGTACCTGGAATTGCAGAACTTGGGAGGCTGAGGCAGGAGGATTGCTGAAAGTTTAAGGCACATCTGGGTTACAGAGTGAATTCAAGGCCACTCTAAACTGCCTAGTGAGATCCTGTCTCAAAAAACCAAAACCAAAGAAACATACAAAACAAACAGAAATCCATAAACGTAAGCCACAGACTAAACTCAGCTCCATGGTGGTTTGAAGAAAACATACCACTTTCTCTGCAAATGAAACAAAACCAAAACCCAAACCAGCTTCCCGTGTTAAAATAACCAGGCCCTCGCACCCCATGTAAACCAGCGAACTTGGCATAGATGATCACAGCCTGGGAAGAGGAACCAGAGCTCAAAGACTCCAGCTGGAACCATCGCTGGCCTTCAGCTGGCCAGACATCCCCTCCACACTCTTGGGAAAGCGCTTCTGTGTACCCCAAGCTTCCTGCTCTCTGGAGCTGCCCCATTCGTGAATATGAATGGCCGTCTCTACCATCCTATGCATCAGCTTCTCCCCTGACCCTTGAAGTTGGTAATCACTGCGTGAAATGTAGATCGTGACCTGAAATTCCATGGGAGCTCCCAGAGGCCTGAGGTTGAGGCCCACAGCCTTCACTGGGCCCCGACTTCTTTGCAGGTTCCAGCAGGGAGGCCTGCTGGGGGCCCTGCCTGGCAAGCACAGTGTATCCTGTACCTGGTCGCTGAACACCAAGTGGCAGTGTTACACGAGGACCCCTTTTCGACAAGCAGGAAGGACCCTGCTCATTTCCCTCCTCAAGCCTGAGGAGCAGCAGACCTTAGCCTGTATCCTACCCCAGTGCCTTTTTATAGTGCTGTAACATCGAGTTATTCCCCAGCCCACTATTATTTTGAGACAAGATCCTGCTAAATTACCTAGACTGTCTTTGAACTTGTGATTCTTCTGCTTCAGCCTCCCAAGTAGCTGGGATTAGAGACGTGTAACTGTGGCAAACAAGGGTATTGTGAGGATGTAGAGGTACACAGTACACATTGGCTTACATTTTTATTTAGTGTTCTCTGCTTGTTGGGCACCGGTGCTGGAGTCCCCAGGCCTTGAATCCTCTCTGGTCCTCCTCCCCTTCTCTAGGGACTGAACGAAAGCCTTTGCACTGATCCATATCCCTGGCCCATTTTTAGTTTTAATTGTGAGAGAGGGTCTTGCCTAGCTTCCCATGCTGGGCTCTAATTTGCAGTCCTCTTGCCTCAGCTTCCTACAGAGCTGGATTACAGGTGTGTGCCTAGGCCCAATTTGGGTGGTTGTATATAGCAAATAATAAATGTCTTTTTAAAATTTTAACTTTATTTTTATTTTAAAGAGAATAAAACCAAACAAAATAAAGCCATTTAAAACAAGCCAGTGTAAGTGACACAGGATTTCAAAACAATAGGAAATCAGCAATGATTTTCATAATACTTCTTGTTGTCTTCAAAACAGCTGCCCATACCTTTGGACATAGTAAAAAATCAAACAAAACAGAACAGAATAGAACCAATAAAAACAAAACAAGGAATGCAATAAAGGACTTCAAAATAGAATAATAGAAGTCCAAAATAGCTACATAGTATATCCTGCTATCTTTGAAATAGCTACCCATGCCATTGAATATAATAAAATCAAACAGGATAAAAAAGAATAAAACCCAACTAAACAATGAAAATGATACAGGGCTTCAAAACAAAATAGGGATTCAACCATGGCCATGAAACTACAAGCATCAAGTTGTATTTTACCTCAATAGCTACCATCGAAGCCTGTGCTTCTCCAAATCAGCTGGTCCTTTATGGCAGTGGTGGTGGTGGGGTTGGCTCTTCTCCAGTCCCAGCCTGTGTACCAGAAGGGGCTGGCATCTGGCTGTCCCTGCAGCGGACCACACATGGTACTGATTTGCAGGGACTGCTTGCTTCTTGGTGACTTATTGTTTTCTTCCCCCACAGTCCACAAATGGGTGCTGACTCACGGGAAAAGGCTGGGGTCTGGGTGTCCCCTCAGTGGCCCAAGCAGAGTGCCGATTCGCAGGGCTATATGATATAAATCGATAGGTTATGTTTGGAGATGATTAGGTGATTGCAACCTTACACCTTGAAAACTAATTTCAAGCTTTAGAACATCATTTGTTAGTGAGGTGCAACTTCGTGGTGTGGAGAATGCCCTGGCCTCCATGGATCACTGTTGCACTAGGAATACGGGACTGAGCTAGGAGATGGAGAAGGAAGTTCTAAGGAGATAGTTTGGAAGCATTTTCTTAGAAATGGTATAAAAGTTAAACTCTTTAAACAAGTTATGGGCAAACTAAAGATTTTAGTAAAAATAGGACCTCCTGAAATACAACTGTAAGGATTTCAGCATTTTCAACACCCACCTTAACGTTCTAGACAACATAGACGGTGGCCAGGATGTAGCACAGTGGTAGAGTACGTGTTTGGAATGCGTGAGGCCTTGGGTTTGATCAGCAGCATCCAAAGCAAAACAAAATGAAAACAAAAGCACAGGTGGGTATTTCTTAAAGATCTAGGTTTTGGACTTTCATGTTGACTGATAAAATAACAAGGGTTGGGTTGAAAGATGGAAACAGAACATATTCTGGAACCCCTCAGGGTATTTCCCACTGTACAGCCCAAACTTCCATAAGTGTAAAGAATCAAGTCAATCAGCAGAATTGCTTTCGATATTTGTTCTAAAGCTGGTACTAATACTCAGTTTTTATACTGCAGTTACCATTGAGCATGGAAGAGAATGAGTTCTTGGAAGAGAAAGCATTCCAGCATTGTTGTGCAGAATTCATTAAACATTCACAGCAGATAGGCGATGGCTGGGAATGGAAAACATCAAAGGTAAAAACAAAATTTTATTTCCTTTTTCAGTGGAGGCTTATTTGTTTATTTTTGCCTTATAAAATGTCAGTAATTGGAGACTAATGTGTAAAGGCTAGGTAGATTGAATGAACGGCCTAAATTGAAGGATGTTTTCAAACAGATGTCCATTTTATGACTTCGACCGTGTAACTCATTATGATTAGACTAATGAAGTATTGTCTAGCAAAGTCCTTAGGTGAGCTGCTTTCATTTAATAGATAAGGATGCCCAGCATGTTAATTAGCTGAGGGTAAACAGACACTGCTCTGCCACTTTAAACCATGTGTTTACATGACAGATTTTCTTAGGAAACTACTTTGTTCAGAGAGTAAAAGACAATCACAACCACACAACCACAGTGGAAGCCACAAATTCTGAGGTATTAAGGACCTCAGTCACCAGAGACTTCTCAGTAATGTAAGGCATACGTCCCTAAGCACTTCTTCTTTTGATTATATTCAGAAATGACGAGGAAGACTTCCAAACTTTTTATTTCTATTCACACAATTGGACAAATTATGTGCCAAAAGATTTTAAAGAGCTCCTTGGAATTCCTTCCTTAAAGACTAAGTTTTCTCTACCTGACAGGGATTCCTGAGATGTGAGGAATCCTGCTGCCTGTGGGCTGGCCCTGTGTCCTGGGGGCGCTTGGAGAAACTCAGAGTGCAGAACGGATTCCCAGGGTGTGGAACTGAGCCCAGTGGGGGAGGTCTTGACAGGGTCCAGCAGACCTGCATCTGCACTAGGCTTTGACAGCAGGCTGGGGGGCAGTTGGGAGGTACAGGCCCCCTTCTGGGGAGAGGTCCGGCCTCCCTCTGAGCAGTGACTGGACACTGAACTCTTCATGGGGTGGTCTCCTGTCCGGGAACATGTGACCTTGTTGGCACTTTTTATTAATTTGATTCCTGTGTATTTTATAATTTTGCTTACCGTCATGTTTAAATTTTCATTCATTTTTTTCCTTCTATGATTATGGATGATATACAAAGGCGTGGTTAATTTTTGGTGCTTTAATTTTATAAATATGCAGTCACTGTACTGAATTATCCTGGTGGCTTTCAGTTTCCCAATCTTTAGCGAGTAAGGTCATTTGGAGGTGAAGAGGTTTTTTTGTTGTTGCTGTCATGGTTGCCCTGTTTGTGATAATTCTGCTATTTTATGCATTGCTTGGAAACATGTTCCAGGAATACTGGTAACAGATCTCTTTGTCTTAAACTGATTTTAGTATTAATTTTTCTGATAGGTACCCGATTAAGTAAATATTGGTTGTTTATTCCTTGTAATTTGTTGACAGTTACAGTTCTAATTAAGGACAGTTCTCTTGCTAGTTGGGGGGGGTGATCCAATAGCTGGAATCAAAACAAATTAAAGCACCAGTCTGCGAAAACCTTTAGCTCCAGTGGAGACCAGGCTGCCTGGGACAAGACAGTGTGGAGACTGGGTCTGTGGCTGACCAAGTTGCCTGTGCTTTGTGTCTTGCCTGGCTGCACTTGTGGGCCCAAAACGTTACCCTATCTTTTTTTTTCTTTTCTTTCTTTATCTTTTGTCTTTTGAGATTTCACTGTGTAGTTCAGGCTGGCCTTGAACTTGCAACATATCCTCTTATCTCAGCCTCCCCAGTGCTGGGACTACGTGTGTGTGCCACCACACCCAGCTCAGTATTTTGATTTTCAAGAGAAAGAAACAAATTCAGGCTGGAGAAGAGAAATCTCTTAAATTTTAAATGTTGGCAGCTATTCGAAAGATAGTTTTCAAGCACAGTGAAGGCTGACCCAAACATCTTTTCGCTTCTAAACTATTTTGTTCCCAGAGGTCCGCATTTGCGGCACATAAGGGTCCCATTCATCTTGGGAGGTGGTGCATGGACCCCTCCCCTCCCACCCTCCTGCAGCCAGGCAGGTGTGAGGGCTGGGGTACCCCGTTTCTGACCTCTGGGCTGGGAGCTGCCTGCCTCTTGCTTGAGGATGCCCTGAGCTGTGCAGGGCTCCTGGCTGCCTCTGGTGAGCTGCAGGCCTACACACACAGTGAGCCTGCGAACCCTCCTCCGGTTCATCGGCAGTTTACAAACTATCAGTGAAGGAGTCTTGTTGTCTATGGAACTTTTCCTCTTTCTATTCAGTTTAAGCCCTGTTTTATTTCGGAATTATATGGAAATAAATGTGTTTTATTCATGTATCAACTCCTAATCATGAGTCTGATCATTATGCACTGTAAATGTCAACTCATAAAAATTTAAAACATTTAAAACAATAAGAATATGCTGTATAAGGAGTAAAGTCTAATGTAAACCATCGGCCGTCACTAAGGCTAATGAGTAGGTTGAATGGATAAAGAAGATGTGGGTTTTTGTACAGTGGAGTATTACTCTGCCATAAAGCAGGGTAAGCTTGAGACATTTCTCTAGCTAAATGGATGCACCTTGAGACCATACCATAGAGATCATAAATCAGACACACATGTTCAAATATTACATAGTCATAAAACTGATTATAAAATGGCTTATTTCCTAATTTATATAGGAATATATAGTTATAAAACTGTTATAAAAATGGTGTATACCCTAATTTATACAGAATAAAATTTAAAATGCCATTTTATTGTGTATAAATTGATATTGCCTTTATGATTTCTTTCCTCTAAGAGCCTTTCTGGGTAATTCACATTGCTTTCTTAAAGTCTGTCAGTGTTATTCTAAGTATATTAAATCTGCCTTTTTAAAAGAGATTCTGGAGTATCTCCACGTTTTATTCTATCTTTCATTGTTGTCTCAGTAGGTCAGGGAATTAAAGAAACCAGTCACTGAAGAGACTTGTCCTGTGGAGCTGAAGAGAGAGACACCAGCCTGGGGCTGAAATTCTCTTCATCTGCCACCTTTCCTTCCTTCCTTTCCTTCCTTCCTTCCTTCCTTCCTTCCTTCCTTCCTTCCTTCCTTCCTTCCTTCCCTCCTTTCTTCCTCCTTCCCTCCCTTTCTTTCTCTCTTTCTCTCTCCCTCTTTCTTTCTTTTTCTCTTTCTTTCTTTCTTTCTGTCTGTCTGTTTGTCTGTCTTTCTTTCTTTCTTTCTTTCTTTCTTTCTTTCTTTCTTTCTTTCTTTCTTTCTTTCTTTCTTTCTTTCTTTCTTTCTGTCTTTCTTTCTCCTGACACAGTCTTACTTTAATTTCCTGTAGGAAACCCATGGTGACGCTTCCCTGTGGCCCTAATGAATTTCCTACCACAGCTGTATTTATTTTTAGTATTTATTATAAAAAATGTGGAGCATATAGAAGTCAAGAGGGTAGCATAATGAATCCCCAAGTCCCGTCACCTGCCCCACAGTCATCCACTCACGGCAGAAGCACCATGCCTAAAAGAGTCAGTGGCTCATGGGAAGTGACATAAGATATCCCGATTTCATTCAGTTTGCCTTCATTGTCTTCCCCCATATGTCTTAAAATCAAGGGTTCTTCAAGTCAACTCTGCAAATTTATTTATCATCCTATATTGAAATACATGAATGCACGCAAGAAGAGCCCCTAGAGGCAAGAAGTATTATTTAACAAGTTTATATTTATTTTCAAATCGTGATAAAAGGCACTTAACGTCACATTTGCTGTCTTAGCCGTTTTAAGTGTACAGTTTGGCAGCGTTAAGTCCGTTGGTGGCGTTTGCGTAACCAACTCTAGAGCTGCCCAGGTTCTGGGTCATCACCACCCTTCTAAAAACTTCTCTTAAAAACTAAAAACAAATAAGAAAAACAAAGCAAAGCAAAGACAGCCATCCTTTTCTTTCTGTCCCTGGGCTCAGCTACCCTAGGTGTCTCTTACAGCCCAGAGAATCAGGCAAGATTTGTCTTTCAGTGATTGGTTTCTTTAACTTCCTGATCTCATGCCAGGCCATTGTTTCTACAAATTTTAACTTGTGGTTTTATTTTACTTTTTTCATTTTTTAATTGATTGAATGGCACTGAACGTCATCAATAGTTTGCAGCCCAGGCGGCAGAAATGCAGGAACTCAGGGCGGAAGTGCAGTAAGGGGTTGCTGTGAAGCTGGGTGTTCAGGCTGAAGAAAGGGCAGGGGTGGGGGGCGGGGAGGTGGCAGATTGGAGAGAATTCAAAGTGATCCTCCTGCTTTAGCTTCCTGGGAAGCTGGGATTCCAGAGCTATGCTATCATCTGGCTGGAGTGAATTCTGATAGATGATGGAATCTTGAAATACGTAGCTTTGTTCTTTTAACAATTTGTACTTCTTTATTTCTGAAGTGGTTTATTAAAGAGCATAAACATGTTTTCTGTGTTTATCTGACAAGGTGAATTCTTCACTATGTCTCACATTTGCTGATGATAAAGAAATCCAGCTGGGTATTTCTGTCAGAAATATAATCAAATCGTGGAGTAAACAATGGGGTTTACATAGTTACTTTGCCTAGTTTTCCACTTCTTCCTTCTCCTCCTCCTCTTCTTTTTTTTGAGACAGTTTCACTATGTTGTCTAGGTTCATCTCTAACTCTGGGATCAAGTGATCCTCCTGCCTCAGCCTCCTGAGTATCTGTGACTGGCAGCCAGCACTTCTCCCAGCCAGCTCATTCACTTTTGTGTCCTTTGTGTGTTATATATTAAAATTCTAGAAGCAATTAGTTTTCATTTAAGGCAAAATTTCAATTTCTGTGTATACAGTATGCTTAGATTCCTGGAATTTAGTGACAGTTTTAAGGTTCACTGTAGGAAAGAGACATGCCCCTTAGGAGTGATGTCATTTTATGTGAGTGAAACAAGCCAGGCTCAGTGGCCTCTGCCTGGAATCTCAGCACTGAGAAGCTGAGGCAGGAGAATCCCAAATTTGAGCTCAGCCTCAGCAGCTTAGTGAATTAGTGAGATCTTGCCCCAAAAAATAAAAAGCAAAAGAAGGACTGGGGTGTAGCTTAGAACAGAATCTCTGGGTTCAGTCTACAGTAGTGTGCACACACACACACACACACACACCCATGGGTACACACATACCCATGGT